GCAATGAAGAAAAACCACAAAATACACTTTTCTTTTTGACAATCATGCTAAAGCTATTAAAATAATAGTTTTGTATTAAAAAACAACAAAATACAGTTAGACAAATGTTATTTATTTGACGCGGAGGCATGCGTTTTTAATTTAAGCGACACGCGTGCCGCGAATTGAGACAAAAGTCGTGAGAGAAGAAAGTTCCAAGTCTCGACGTCTTGAGACTTGAGACCGACTGACTTCATTACATTTCTTGTAAGCAGGTAATTATGTAGCGGGGACTACGTAATCAGGAGTGTCGTAATATTTGACAAACTTGAGCAAGACCGGTGTAAATTATGATCAAAATTCACTTTTACTGAAATGAACGATTCTGTCTTTCATAAGCTTTACTTTAGGTAAAACTTTATCGTAATTGCCTGAAAATTATTCGACACAATTACTCGGGTTTGAAAGAATTATTTCATAACTCAACTCTTGAGAAAGACCCGAGTTATTTATCTAGCTTTAAAAAATGACACTAGCACAATAAAGCTACGGAAAGACTCAACATTTGTACAAGAGCAGTAGAAAAATGAATTCTATCTCCAAGCAATCTCAGCTAGGAAAAGTATAAAAATCTCGTCTTTTTATCTAACTAGATATCAGAGAGAAACTAGAATTAAATATTTAAATCTAATTTAAGAGCCGGTAGTGTATGTGCTCCCACAGATAACATCATCACGTCAGCCAAGCGAAGTGACATAGATTCGTGAGAGATGGAATTCATTGTCACAGACTGTACTTCAAGTAATAGAGGTGGTAGCTAGGACTCGATATGTGCTCTATCTACGATTTCTAAAGTCTCTTTACTGAGCTCTCTGATTAATTGTCATTCTCTGTGACGCTGGTTCAAAGAAATTACATCAATAATTTTATTCGGTGTATTTTCGTGTTCTATCTTTGTTTTAGAATTTCATAGTTTGTTTAAAATTATAATTATGCAGATAATAGTCTATAGTATTTCGCTATGAAAACATGAGTCATTATCAAAAATGACACCAAACAATCCAATTATATTACATGCTAGAAATCTCAGTGCAAAAGGCAATATCATTGTCCCAACATGAAACAGCTGTTAACACTAGTGTATTATCATAAAAACTATGGCATTTGTAACCTTCGTGCGAACTGCGGCATTTGCACTCAACTATGCAAATGCAAATTAATTTTAATAACTTATAAAGTCGTCTAGCAGTCGTTGGCACTGCGAGTTATCATAACAAAACATCTTAACCATAAGCGTTAGGTAACGTAACACGTTCTTTATTATTATAAGTAAGGCGACCCTTGAGCTCTTCCACGAAATTCAACACCTCGGAATGCATGAGTAGCTTTAACCAAACGACCAATTGCAGGTCAAGATTAGCTCCACCTTTAATATTGTTTAACAACCAATCTTTAACTCAATGACCTTTGCAACAACGTAGCCTTTTTATCGCACCTAATACAAACCCTGGATACGACAACAAAGTTGCCATTAAGTCCTGATTACGCTCAGCTGCTAAGTTCCTACTGAGATGCAATTAAAACGTTTTAAGTCTCCTGGATTAAGAACGTTAGATGCGAAAATGGCTCGTTTCTTTTTTCGATTTCTTTGTAATCTTTTAATGCTATCCTTATTCTTATTGTATTGTCCGGAAACAGCTTTCGAAACAAGCTATAATTTAAGTCCACGACTGATTTTGTTTTAAAACGTGTAGGTAATCGACGATCACTTCAACAAATAAACAAGACATTGACACTAAAACCTCACTCACCGCAAAAACTGACATCAACACTAAGTTTGTGTCAACTTCTTTTTTGTGGTTTGACATTCCAAAACTTGTGACTATCCAAAAACTAAAATGACCACATCACAACACCTCACACAATCAGAATCACTTTAGTTGTTTAATTAAACGAATCATTTATTTAGATAGCATTTCAGTTATAACCAATTTGTGAAGAATTCTCTACACCCTACAATATAGCTACAATTCTCATCGTTCCTTATCCTACAGTTTGTTTTCACAGGTTTATTGTTAGGGACCTTAATGTAAACAGTCTTTACGTCTGTGTGAGGTACACTGGGTAACTGTATTCTCGAGATAAACGGCTTGACTATAGCTCCTGGCCGCAGGTGTTACGTCACACAGCCTGCAGTACCTATCGACCGGTCAGCTAACTGCACGCCACGTACAGAACGCCAGCAAGTCAAACTAAATAAATCTGTAAATTTTTCATTGGATTCTCGACTGTATGCAAGAATGATAAAGTTAAAAATCTCAAAAAAAGAAAAAGTGTATGTTCGTATGCTGCAGTCTGTACTTTACCTACGGGATTCATCTCATCATTTATTCATACTGCAGCTTTCATTGTGAATTCGTTTTGCAAACTTTCAGAGATAGCGTTATCCTTTAGTACTGTTGGAACAGTCCCATAATACTACAGGATAATAGTTACTATCTCTTCTTTATCTTTACTTTCTTTACACAGATACAGAAATCCATAGAAAGATTAGATTAGATTTCTCGGTGATACAATTTCTTTATAGTAGACAGTTAAATTTAATGGACGAATGTACTTACTTCTAAACACTTATTAATGCCGTTATAGGCAAAACAAATATCTTAGTAATCCCTATAAAACAATTAAAAGCTACAGGCTCTTTCCAAGTAAGATTGCACATAGTTATGCAATGCAAATGCAAATCAATCATTAACATTAGATTCGTATGGTATTCGTATTAAAGGACCGCAATACAGAATATTGTTACAACATGTTTAATTAAGATCCTCGTAGTACTACGAGTAAAGAGTGTTGTTAAAACTATTTTATACCTCGTGGGCACTAACAATAGTATTATATGAGCACGTACTATGTATGTTCGTTTATAGCCTCACCCAGCGAAGTGCCGTAAAGTAAGGGATCGAGATCGCATTTCATTCTAAGAAACAAAGTGTTAAACCATCGCTGGAGCAGGAAGCTTATCTCCTGCAGCCCGCGGCTCAGAAATAGGAAACATCTGATACCAGTTGACCTCAAATATTTTGCTTTTACCAACAAAGCGACTGACGACTTTCCGTTCAGTGCTGATAAGATCTTGAACATAACAAGTTTTCTAAGTACATATGTACATTGTCAAGATTAACGCTAAGCAGCCTAACCTTTCTTGAAAATATTGATCGAGTTGCGTTAGCCAAACTTAAGCTACTTATCGACTGAATAAATTACTAAGAAACTACGAAAAAGTAAGTCCTTGAAGTGAGTCATTAATCATAATCAGCTACTTAATGTTCATCAACAACAAAATTAATTATCTTCGCTGCGAGTAGCCACACAAGTTTAGACATCATTATTCCGCAGGATGTCGAAGAGAGGTTATTGTACGAAATATCGACCCACACACCACTAGAAATAGATAAATCTAATAGCACTTAATACTGGATGTCGCAGTCTGTCAATCTGAGGAACCCATCGATGTTCAATATTGTTGGAGTAAAAAAAGGATAAAGTACAATAAAAGTTGGAGAACTGCTCAAGCAGCTGAGATTCGTTTAAAGATATAAAAGGTTGGATAGAACGGAGACGTCCGCTGCATTCCAATAGTCCTTTCACGCTTAGAAGTGCTTCGCAATAACCTGCGCAACGTGCCATCGGTTAAATGTCGAAGAACAGATTGCTCTCAGCGACCTTACACTCTATAAAAGAACAGTGCATTTATTGCGCTGCACTTTATATCACATCCAGGTTACTACTATATGAAATGAATATTCCTCATTCACAGCAAGTGCTTTCCATTTCCGCAGTAAGAATGATACCTCAAGTAGTGAAGATACAGAATAATTTATTATAAAGGATTAGTCTCAGACAAGTTCCTCAGTCAGAATCATAGTATAAAGAACAAAGTAGGTTATCTTCATACAAATGCTCCGCGCGCGGCTTATATGTGTGCGCCATAGTATCTATGCGTCGACGCACGCACACTTTAACAAAATCTCGACCCGTTTCTCAGTGCGCCAGGCAGGGCTAACACTGCACGAGGTTCGCGCGCGCATCACTTTTCGGCACTGTTAAATGAAATAAAAAATGTCTGATAACCGTAGAAGAACGTATTGCTGTGTGTTTGGGTGTCTTAATAATTAATCGATTTCAGAACTGTCTCTGTTCAGATTAAGTACCTATTGAACAGGAAAGGTAAGCTAGTTACTTTTTCTAGCATAATATAATTTGTAGGTACTTGATGATGAGATACATACTTACTTATTCTTACTCTTATCATTCTTCATAGTTCCTACTCAACCAGAAAGAAGAATTACCTACTAACTACTATACTTAAATATTATAAGAAAATGTGGTATTGTATTGTTTATTTCACAGTTTATCTGATTTGTTAAGAGCGTGGCCGTGTCGCATTTTTCCATATAAATGTATTCCCAAATTTACCTACTTTCTGAATACTATGTATAGAGCTAAAGTTTATTTTAAGAAGTTAATAATCATTTTATAAGCTTTTTATTTTTACTAAATTTATAAATTGATAAAATATTCAATCATAATAAATGCTTTTCATTTCATAAATTTAGATCAAGTGCTGCTTGTTCGAAAATATTAACAAAAAGTAAAAGTGACAACCCTGGGGATCAACGCAAGAGTAGGCTAATAACTCGGCGGGCGGCCTTAGATAACCTACTGTGTTCTTTATACTATGGTCAGAATGCACGAGCTAACTTCGTGACAAAGCAAAACATGCAGCGGCACCAAATAAACAACTGTATACACCTAACAAAAAATACGAGGAATGCAAACGGACAAGGGCAAAACAATTTGTATCGGAACTTATTTAAATCATTAACTAAATTGGTGCCCTGGAGGTATTCAAATGATCATTGGAAGAACAAAACTGGAAAAGGAAAGAAAGTTTTTTGTTGAGCGTGTCGTTGATCGTGGTGGAGGACGGTGTGCGGGCGCGCGCGCCGGGCACTCACCCTGCAGGCGCGGGGCGCGGGGCAGGGCAGGAGAGCGGGGAAGATACCACTACTACCCATACCTTGCCTCAGCTGGGAACCACGGAAGTGCCTCCTATAACCTCTCCGTAATAAATCCTTTATCAAGCACAAAGGCATCTTTGTTATTGTTACGTTTTGTTCAAAAAGGATGACGGTGACTTAATTGTGAGGATCACGATTAGGGTTTCAACAACTGTATTATAAAATATACCCTTCTACTTAATACTCAAAGTAAGAGTGTTTCAATTGGCAAGAATTGCATAAGTACCATAGAATTTCAAGAATGTTAAAAATCACTTGAATGGCTTCATAGAAATAACTGAAACGTCATTAATGTAAATAACAAAAGGTTTCGAAGTAACAAGTGCTTCTCAAACGAATCTTATGGCTTTGAAGGTCCCAACGCCTTTCAATGTGCCACTACCGAACAAAGGTTTGGAGACAAAAAATCTTCGTTTGCAAAAGGTCCGTTCAACTACCTGCTTCAAAGACAGCCGCAAGAAAGGCCTCCGTGAGGTTGAATATTAGTGATGTATACGGTACACCGTAACTTTGCAGTCGATGACACATCGCGTCCTGACCCGCCATATTTGATGATGATGTGCCCAAATGTTTGCAAATAGCAACCTCCATGATAGCATTTGAATTGTCACATACATTATAATGAGTCATACACAGAATAAAGTATCTTTTGAATACGGGTAATGAAGCCTCACGTGTATCCGGCAATGCAAAAAATATGAACCACGAAATTCGTTTGGGTTTCGGCAAAAACTGTTTCTGTGTCCAATTGGTCATGTGCTCATGAATGCTTCTATAGATTAATAGTTTTTAATGGTATAGGAGTTACCGCCACCTACAATGCTTTTATTATTATTTCGATCAGCAGTTAGTTCCACAATTCTATTTTAAGTGTAACCGTCTTATTCGGAGTCCTTATTTAATTTTTTCTCAAAAATAGGAACGTCATTGCAGATAACCTTTGATATGCAATAAACTCATATGTAGGTCAGTCTTAAAACGTATCAGTTGCACTCGTTTCTGGTCAAGTGCGTGTCTGCTTTGAGTTAAATAAAGAAACAAACAGATAAGGACCGATACATTGGGAAGTCTAATCCTGTCTTTAGAAGATCTTTCAAATGTGTTGAAGTAGAATGATAAAAACAAACGAGAATGTGAGCGGAGTCCACCTGTTGACAGCGCACCTGGCGCAGGCACACACTAGGGTGGCGTGCACTCAACCACCAATGTTTATCTCATCTACAAATATTTAAACATCGCGTGACTGAGCCTCAGATGCATCCGACACGTCTCGGGGGATATACAACAAAGATAAAAAGTTCAAAAGCCTTTTTCTAAAGCCTCTTAATATATACCGACTATAATAATTATACTAAAGTAGTCAAACAACTGTCTAGTAACTAGTACAATATCCGGTTTGCCGTACCTTATTCGCTGGCCGCATCAAACACTCTTCTGCCTCGGAGGATGTGTTGCTTCATTTACTACAATCTTTTAAATATCACTTAAGTTATAGAAACACTCCTGACACTTTACACTAAACACAAAAACTTTTATATCTAGTTGATCACTTCCATCTACTGCTGTTCACACGTTTCCTTTTGCTTCGGTTACAACTTATTCATATTTGTCGACTACTTTTCATTTATGATTATCACTTTCATTGTTTTGTTTTACCGCATTTAAAATTAATTTATTTTTCATGAGTGAATGTATCGGAGAACGCTCGCGGCCGTCCGCCGTCGACTGTAGAAGTAGTAACGTACTGGCATCGCGGCAACCACCACGCTGAGTGGGAGGAGGATTAAGAGACAGTGCTACGGAGAACGAGTGCGTTAGAAAGAGATGGCGCCATACGTCATCACCGGTACATTTATAAGGCAACTAATGAAAACTGTCCTCTAAATAAATTAAGTAACTCACAAAGTCGAGGGTATCCATTTTAACCGTGTAATACCGGTTTTACCTGTGTCCGACAGCGTGCCAATAAGGTAATTCGAATTCCTGTGGAGTGAAAAAGACGGAGATTTGTGTCGAAGGCTCTACACACATACGTCGTAAGGGTTACAGTTCGGAAAGAAAATGTTAATAAATTAAATTTGAATACTGGGTTCGTTAACGGTCACGACGCCGCGGTGCAGAGAGCAAACGGGAGATACAGCGTGTGATAGTAAACAAACCGGTTGAAGCTTCTTTAATTATCGATTCATAATTTAGTATTGTATTCAAAATTTTCGCACCGCACAACAAAAGAGTGCGAACACTTTCTAAATTTGCGTAGTACAGAAAATAAGCGTTAAATCCGTTAATTCAATAATCGCGTTACGGGAAGGTAGAACGTACAACATACACACGAATTTGTTGTGCAAACTTGTAGGACAACGCATCGGCTGTATTTAGTAGTACTACTTACTGGTATGAATCAAAACGCAAGAACGCAGCTACTTTAATTTGCGGTTCTTACAACAAAACAAAGAAAAGCTTCACTTTTACCAATTAGCTCGGTGGCGCAAGCGGCCGACAGACGCGGCTTTGTTTCCGAAAACAAGTGAAAATCTATTCGATATCGACAGTCGACACACTTTCGTTACACTTGCCACGAATTTCTATTGTGTAACATTATTTTTAACATCTACTGACTATCATTATTCCGTAACTCATCTGTGAAACCAAAATACCTACCCAGCTTTTACTTTCAATATTTAAGATTAAACTACTTATACACCTGCAAATTTATATACAAAAAGATAGGAACTTTAATGTTAAAACAGTAGTATAACATCTCAGTCATTTTCTCCTATGTTTATTCATAAACAAACATATTCTTCAAGTCGTGAGAAATAATTAAATGTTTTTAAATTCAAATGAAGCAGCTGCTTCTTTTAGATAACGTATCTGCAACAAAATGCAAATGAAATGGAAACGTTGAACTAAAATTAAACAAAGCTAGAAATGTGGCGGCAAGGTGTTGTATCAGTGAGCTTTCATTGTTTCTTTTTCTTACTCTTCCATTTCTCACCTCCGCTGTGTTATTATCATCTTACCATTAATTACCTGACTATAAGTGTGTGGTAATTGTAGCCTCCATAAAGCTAATGTTGATTGATTGAAAAACATCTCTGGGAATGCTACATAATTGAAGGTTCCATCATCTTCATAATTATTACGATTACTTGTATCTACTCATTTTTCAATTACTATTTTTAAAACCTTATTATTACAAGAAAATTGGTCTACTTTAAATACGGATTTAAATTGGGTAAAGAGAAAGTAAATCACTTTCCGATTTCTTCACCTTTTTACATGGCGAATACGGAATTAGGTAGTTTGTCGCGAAACAATTTCATTGTCAATTATTCGGACGTGCATCGCATTCCTCATTACTAGATTTAGTTCCAATTGGCAGAGACGGAAAGAAGTAGGTAATAAATAAATCAGTAATGGTATAACGATGGACAGAAAATACTTGCTAGTTAGTTTCACTATTTTCCCTATTGCAATATTGTCCAGATTAAATTGCCATCATTTGAAATCCAGTTAAGTAGAATAAGTAGGTAATTATAGACAGTTAACCCAATATAAAGTGCCTGGTAATGGCTTAGTTTTGAAAAAAAATATCATGAAACCATCTTCTATAAGATCTGCATAAAATTGCAGACTGGGAGATCATAATGAATGGTACCTATCTACAAAGAAGTTTCAAACACCTGCATAGTACTTTATCAATGTGGGCGCAAACCCGTTATCTCATGATCTATTCCGGTTATCTCTTGTCCACAAGCTCAATGACGGATACGGTTTTAAATAAGGAGAGCATCAGTCTTTAAGTAGCAATTTTCGCCAGATGTCACTGCGTGATCAGCATTGTTTAAGAGCCTATGGCAATGGAAATCGAACCAACGGCTGACCCCTTTCTGCGATGAATAGTAATGACCCTACTTGGATTGTTCACGGTGCGACTCATGCTCATATCGATTATATATGCATCAGAACCAGCTTTTGTGGGTTGAGGCGTGCCACAAGATTCGTCATATAACTTATCCAAGTTTAATGTAATGTCAAGCGGGATATTGGCGCTTCTTACTCATCATTATGTTGTTGACAATAACACGTTGAAGCCCCGTCAGTAAGGTTAGTGGGGCAATAATAATAAAGGATTACCTTTCAATTTTTTTATTGGCTCTCCTAAAATCTTAATCAAATTCAGCAGAAACCTTATAAGCTCATCTATGCTTCATAACAGCGCACGTAATTTGGGACTTTCAGACTATACCTGCATAACTGCAGAAATTACTTCACTTCATTTATTGCAGAAACTCAGTAGTCAATGTGTCCAAGCTCTAATAGATAGAAGGGGCCCAATTCATTTATGCCATTGAAAAATCATATACCTTGAGGTAGCGTCACTATACTCATCTTATTCACCATCTTAAACACTTTTGACCTCAAAACCGGTTTACTTTACCGTCCTATCTGTAAGTACACAAGTATGTACTCGCGTTTTTATCAAGTAATGAGACTTATAAGGCGCACATGTAATTCTACACGATTATGTACCTACGTATACGCCGTGTAATGAAGGGCCCGCTTGCCATGATCCAATCTCCTAAATAAAAGTTATTTCGCAACTCGTTTGCTGCTAGCTTTGTTACTTCATTTGTAGGACTGAAAAGGGTTAGATTAAAAGGTTTTTTGATGAATATCTTTAGACTGAGTAAGGAAATTGGATGAATTTCAATGGCACCCAGATCTCTATTCATTATGTATCATCTTAGTGTAATACGTCTGCTACCCATTGACAAACCTTATCAAAGCGAAAGAAATCCATTTCCAATTCAATCATCAATAGATTCCTGTAGAGGAAAGAGCTAATATGCTGTGTATTTTCTAAACAAATAACTTAGCTCCTTTCTCCTCTTTACCTCACTCTTTACCAAATTGATTATAGGATAAACATAAAGAAGTGTTTACCAGATTCGACGGCACATCAACATTTTTCACTGAGCGAGTGCCACCAGATCTCCACAACTCTCTAAGATTTTTCAGCGTCTT